AAATCACACAGGAACGAGCAGGAAACGGTGAACAGCTGAAGACCAGTCAGCACTCAGCACAGGCAGAGGCACCTTTTAAATAATACTTTTCTGTGCGAATGCACACTTCTATTTGCCAATCGTCTTACCGGGATTCCCTTACACCCTGTTTATTGGCAGTATAATTTATTGAATACCTCTTTTATTAATTATTTACATTCTGAACATGTACTATTACCCATCAGTTTTGCATATGCATTTACAATGATGGTTTTTGCTTTATAATTTAGCTATGTTCTTTTACTTTTATTTGTTATACAAGGCTCTCATTATTACCTGGTGTCTCCCCAGATGTTCTGCTTGATACTTGTTCCTGACTTTGGCTCTGCTCCTGACTTTGGCTTGCTTATGATTTAGTACCTTGCTGTCCACCCGTTGATGACCACGGCTATTCCTTTGACATCGCTCCTGTCTCCCATCCCTGCTTTCTGCCTTGCTCTGGTGCACACCTGGCGACCTACCATACCAGCTCTGCATATCACTACTGTTCCTGAATCAGAGGTTCATCAGTCTTCCAAAGTCTCCAGCTGCAAGAGCTGCAAACAACATCTGCTGGCGCTCTTGTCCCCCTGGTCCCTAGACACCCTCTGTTCCACTTCCAGTGGGGTCAGCGCAAGTGACACAAGTGAGGCCGACCTCATCATTTCAGTCTCCAATCAGGTACGTGACACAGGGGCATACAGTATATGTCCCAAATGACAAAAGTGAGGTGTACTGCCAACATCAAATCAAAAGGAGCTGCATCTGGAGGTTATTTCAGTACACTCTTGCATTTCTTGTTTCTACACACAGGGCGTGAGTGTGTTTTCCAGAGACCTCTGGTCATCAGAGGGCCAAACGGTTCATATCTGACAGTGGTTGTGACTGTCAGGTTGAGGATATAGCCCACATCTCAGAAGGTAACTTTAAGGGAAGAAGGTCTTAGTCCTAAACTCTCTGTGAACTTGACTTCATTCTTTGCCTCAAAAGCACTGGGCAGTGACTAATCCACAATATCAGATACCTTGGAGGGATTTATGCACAGACCACCCTTCAAAATAATGTATCCTAGAACTGTATGGACTTGGCGATGACGGGACACATAGTCATGAGAAAACACCAAAAAGTAGACCATCACAGACTTGTATAATAGATAAATAAACACATCTTTAACAAGTTGCTGAAAGACTGCTAGGGCATTACAAAGACCAGAAGGCATGACCAAATATTCCTAATGCCTTTCACCTTGAGGTAAAAGCTGTCTTCTATTCATTTCCAGCACAAATTCTGTGGAGATTGTAAACCACTCTGAGGTCAAGCTTGTTGGCCCCGTGGAGAACGATCAAAAAGTTCACAAATAAGGGAAAGTTGGCATATATTCTTAATGGTGATACTATTCATTCCACAATAATCAATGAAGGATGGAGGGAGATGTCCTTCTTTTGGACAAAAAAGCACTGCACATGCTGGAAATGAAAAGGGGTGGATAATTATTTCTTGAAACTGTCTACTATGTATTTTCCATGGCTGTAGACTGAAGAATGGATAGTAGGTAACACAGTGAGGAAATAAAGTTTGGATTAAAATCAATTGGCAAATTTAGCCCTTGTGGGGGTGGAATAGATGGCCTGCTCCTTTTTTACTGAAGGCATCAGGAAGTCCTTGTAAAGGAGGGAGAGCAGGCAAAGTTTCAATAAGCTAAATCAGTATGGACTTATCAGGTGTGACCTTGGAAAGACATCAGGAAAAGTATGTATTCCCTCAAGAGTTTATGTGTCTCTTACATCAATTGATAGTGGGGGAATGAAACTACAATCAAAGGAGATTTAGAACCACAGAGATGAAAGATGTGGGCAGCAGTAGAAATGAAATCTCCTCTGGTTGGAGCAAATCGACTGAGAGATAAAGCCAAGTGATTTGACAGAGGATAGGCTGTGAGGGTAAAACCCCACAACAGAAGGAATTCAAATTTGGGTTTTCAGGACAATCATTATTATTTTATTATTCAAATTAAAGTCAAGCCTTTTTTTTTTATTGCATTTTGAATTTTGCAGAAACACACTACAGTCCATGTAACGTGGTTTCCTATGGCTTTAGTTCACATCTGTGTGTTTTTAGCTGGTGCGTTTTTTTGGAAATGGTCAGGACATTGTTTCCCACAGCAGATTGTATTTTTTTGTGTAATAAGCTTCAATGGACCTTCATCAAAAATGCAAGTGTTGCTTTTTTCTGTGTTTTGCATTTCTTTTAATACTTTATGTGGTGTGGCTTTGATGTGACTTTGATGCAACTTTACACTCTCTGGCATTCCAATGGCATCAAAGTAGCATCAACATTGCATCAAAGCTGCATCAATGTAGTGCAGGAACCTTTATGTGTCCAAAGACACATGATAGAGATATAGGAAATAAGGGATCCTATAAACCCCTCCAAAAGAGATCAAATCTTCTTTTTCACCCTGATTGGGAATATTAATCGCCTCCACTTTATTCCTCCATGGAATCCTCAATGGTGTATAGAGAAAGAAACTACATAGTGTAATACTGACACTTAATATAGAATATAAAGATAGAATAAGGCCACTCACATGTTTAAATATAAAATAAAAGCCTTGTTTAATAGTCTAAATGGCTTCAAGATAACCAATTTCCACAATTGCAAATACTGTATAGGGATCTCACGCTTCTGTAGTATCTGCAGAGGATGAACAGCTTTCCAACTCTAAGATGGCCGCTTGAACCGCATCACTCAGAATGACGGCGGACCGGAAATGCGTCAACGCGTTTTGCCCCACCCACAGGGCGTTCTCAAGACCTGTAAGGTCCTATAAGGCTCATTACTCACCTCTATCTGGTGAGTGCGGTCAATATTATTTTTCACGTGGTGGACAGGTGGAAGCACATTTTGAATAATTTACTATTGGTCTTGACGGGAATAAGGACTTATTTTCACATGGACACTTATTGTTATTTTTAATTTTATTTTTGTTCACTTGTGTAATTTTGTTTGTAGATTTTGCGCTGTTTTTTTTTTGTTGTTTGATTATTGGTGGTTTTCACTGTTGCACAGCTGCATAATCACTTGGTATTTTCTTTTTGGCGCTGGGATATATATTTTTGGCATGATAGAGATAGGCTAGATATATATTTTTGGCATGATAGAGATAGGCTAGGTTAAGGACTAGGGTTAGGGTTAAATATTAGGGTTGGAGTTAAAGTTAGGATTAGCGGTAATTTTTAAGGTTTGCAGTAATTGTTAGGGTTAGAATATTTACAATAAAAAAATTACTGCTAACCCTAATGATTAGTTAACCCTAATGATTACCTTTAACCCTAACTCTAACCTTAACCCTAACGCTAGCCCTTAACCCTAACCCTAGTCCTTAATCCTAACTCTAACCCTAGCCCCTAACCCTAACCCTGACATGCGACTTTGGACACATAATTGTTCCTGCACTTTCCTATTTGCAAAAACATCAAACGCATCAAAAACATGTGTTCAAAAGGCAAAACACATCACAAAACATGCCAGAGGGTGTGTCAACCGAACCTGCATAGATGTGAACCAAGCCTTGAACTAGATCGGATCTTTTACCTATCATTGAAAAAGTGGGCACGTCTTTTGTACCATGTACAGATAATATTACACGTAACTGTGTAAAGGTCATGATACAGAGATACAGAGTTTTCATATTTAGCTGTTAATCTTAGACATCTGCAAAACAAAAAAATTCATTTCGTTTCGATTCGAAATCTAACAAATTTTTTTGTCTTTGGATTCAGTAAATTCATTCAATTCATTTTTGGGATACGTTTTGGTAATTTGTATGCAAATTCAATTTGAAAACTTTTCGACCAAATTCGAAAGTCGTTCACATTCAAAATTGGTTCAGCTGAATTCGAAATTGATTTAACAAAATTTGAAAAGTCGTTCGAAATTGAAAAGATTCGACCAAAGTTAAGCTGGCCATACAGGTGTAGATTTTCGTCCAAGAATATTAATTTGAAGAATATCTGTTTAATTTTCTAGCCATTAGTGGGGTCAAATCGATGTTTGTTTTTGATGGCAGTGATGGAAAAATTTGAAGGGGCAGGAAGGAAAACTTTTCTCGATCAAAAGAATTTTTGGCCAGCGTATGTGGTTCTCGTTCAGAAATTACATTCATTTTAAAATCAAATGTTAAAAACAAAAGACAATTTTCGGATGAAATTCATCCATTAATCGAATGTGCAAAGAATTTTCGTACGACTTTTCTTACGAATGTTCTCAAAAATCTATATATGCCGTACACATGATAAGAAAATTATACGAAAATTTTTGTACGAGGATTAGTGCAACAAAAGCCAAAGGGACAAGTATGAAATTTTTTTCTGTACTATACCAGATTGTACGTTTTTTGTTTATTCAGTACAGTAGTCATCTGAAAATTCAATACAAATACATGACATCACTTCCAAAACTTTTCTTTCGCACGAGAATTTTCGGATCTTTAGTAACCTTTTCACTTTAGATGTGAGACTATCAGGTGAAAAAAAACAGATGTCCGATATTCTCATCTTGTGTATGGGGCTTAAGGCTGGCAATACACGTGTAGATTTTCGTCCGAGAATATTAATTTCAAGATTATTCATTTGATTTTCTGATCATTAAGCTGGTGTGAGAACTAACATCAAGCATAGAGTTTTTAAAGCACACAACCACTCGCTTTCTTCTTTTTCAGGGCCATTTTAGCCCAATTTTATTTAAAAGAAAGTTCCAGAAATTTCCCTCACAGGGGTTTTCAGCATTTCACTCTTTAAAACACAGATATTTAGCCTCCTGGCTTGTACACACAATTCTGCAGCTCTGGCCTTCCATTTTAGACTCACAACCATCTCCTGCAGACTCCTTCCTAAATAGCTTTTTGCACACAGCTAGCAGCCCCTTGCTGCTCTGGCTCCCACCTCTCCTAGGTGGAGCTCTCCTGACTCCTGGGCAATGACCTCCTGTCTGCCGGGGTGGAGCCCAGAACCATGGTTAGGCCTCTACAAAAAGGCCAGTACACACCTGTGCAATCAGTGTGCTGGGGGTTCAGAAAAGACGGACCCAGGATTGGAGATTTCATCCCTCCCAGATCACTTTGAAATCTTCAGGCTCTAGATCCCATAACAGACTTTACGAATAAACGAGGAAACTGAAAAGCCAGTTTCCTCTGCAATAAATAAATCCTCTGGAGCCCCCCAACCTGTATGGTTGATAATCCAGGGTTTTAAGCTTGATTTAGACCATGGCAGGATACCGCACTGCCACATATCCCCCCTCTTTGTTTTGACCCCGTAGGGGGCAGAACACACAAATCTAAACCAAAGATCCATTATCTCCTGCGCTCAAGGACTCAGATCAAACAGGCGTTAGTGACAAGCAGCGTGTTGTGTATTCATCCGCTGGTGATCAGAGGTTGTGCAGCTCTATCATGAAGCTGGGGAAGCTTAAACAGGCTGAACTGCTGTAATACTGACACTCAGTGGCTGAATATCTCCTTGCCATGGGAACTCTGCCATACTGAAGTTTTTATCTGCCAAACCTAGCTCTGATGAAGAAGGGAGCACCCTTCGAAACGCGTTAGCCTTCATACCCCCCCCTGTTTGATTTACCTGTAACCCTGTTTGGATTATGGTTACTTATGCCTGTTATACAATCATTTTGTGAGTATATTTCCTTATTAATAAAATTAGTCAATATTTATTGAGGTAATGCGCAAGGTTTGTGCGCTCTTTCTTTCATCTTCCTCTACACAAATCTAAACTCCTTGCTTGAGCTCTTCTGTGCCGGCTATCACCTGTAAAGATCCAATTCTGTCTGACTTCATTTTCATCAAAGGGAGACGCTACTCCCTGCCCCAAGAGGTGACTTCCCCTGTCTCCCCTTACTTGGGCTCTACGACATCCCTGTGTCTTTTTTCGAGTGCGCTTCCAAAAGCGCGGTTTTTCTAATTTCCTTGAGACTATACTAGTCCTTTTACCATTAGGGGGTTTACAAATCTCGGTACCCTTTGTAACCCGAGGTTGACTCCTAAACTTTAAGTGCCAGGTACCCGTAATGTTACAGCGTGCTGCCTCAATTTCCATTAGACCAGCCCTTTTTGCTTTCCTCTGCACTAAATAAACCCTCTGGAGCCCCTCAACCTGTATGGTTGAGAATCCAGGGTTATAAGCTTGATTTAGACTGTGGCAGGATACCGCACTGCCACACTGGCCATACATGTATAGATTTTGGTTCAAGAATTCATATTTCAAGTATATTTGTTTGATTTTCTAATCATATATTTATTTTCAAATTCGGGTTTTAAGCGGAGTTCCAGTGAAAATAAAAAAATAAATAGAAGTCAGCAGCTACAAAAACTATAGCTACTGACTTTTTAATAATGGACACTTACCTGTCCCTCGATCCCACGGTGCCTCCCCCCCGCAGCCAGTTTCACCGACCGCTCTGTGTTCCTGGTGCCAGCATCTTCAGTGTGGGCATCTGGCTGTTACAGCTTGTGGATTCACAGCCAGGTGCCCACTGTGCATGTGCAAGTAGCGCTGCACTTTGTGAATAGTCCCGTAGTCTTCTGGGACCTGTCATGTGTCCCAGAAGACTACGGGGAGGGAGGGGGGAGGACAATTTCCACTTCCAATCTCCTAGGCAAATGCAGAGGAAGTGGGAGCAGTACCTGCAACATAGGCGGACTGACCATTTGGAAACTCAGGCACTGCCCGAGGGCCCGGGGTCAGTAGGGGGCCCCATGAGATGCCCATGGTACCTTTTTCATAGGCTTTTTTGAGTTTGGACAAGGACACAGGGGCCTCATGATGCCCTATTGCCCGGGGGCCCCATGAGTTGTCAGTCTGCCCCTGCCTGTCAATTTTGGGTACCTGCTCCCCCCAGCTCCCCAAAGGTGCCAATCAATCCTTAACGGGGAGCAGGAGACCAGTCATTAAAGCGGAGCTTCCCCTTTTGGGTGGAGCTCCACTTTAAATTGGTTTTTGCATGTTTGTTCGATTTTGTTTTCAAATTTGTTTTCGATTTTGTTTTTGAATTCAAATTTCTTAATCGAATTTTGGCCGAATTTCTGTAATTCGGAATTCTGATACATCTGAATCTCCAAATAATGAAAACATTTGCCCAAAATTTAATTTGGAACTAAACAAACTGCACGTCTATTTAATTTTAAATTCTGAATTTTTCCATAACAGGATCTAGGTAAATAAAGGAAGGTACTCTAAAGGCTTTCTATGTCTAGTTTTCTGCTGCATATCCCAGGACTGTTTTTATTTTTTCAAGGAATATTACTTTGTAAAAACATGCTTTATTATCCTGCAAGAAGTTAGTGGATTTTCATTGCAAATCTGATCCACTTGTAAATATCTTAATTAAAGTTATTAAGATGGATAAATTAATAATAGATTTTCATTGCAAACCTTATACTGAACTACTTGTAAATATCCTAATAGAATTTAAGCCCAACTACTGGATAAATTAGTATTTTTATTGTGCCCCCAGTCTGTATAAAATGAAAAACCAGTCCTGGCCATGCCCACTTTCAGTCTGGAGCTGCTCCTGCAGTACTTACTTTTTACCTTAAGATGGTCTCTGTCTTCTGTGTTGAATGAAGCAGCATTCAGTGCAGCTTCACATATATGCAGATTGGATGTGATTTGAACCATATCCAATCTGCATGACATGTGAACTAACATTGCTTCCTATGGTTGCTGTTCGCATATGTCCGGTGCTCTGGCAGTGCGGTTTCAGTGTAGATTGAAAAAGAGTCATGTCTGATTTCTGAGCAGTGTAGTCCGGTTCAGGTGCGGATTACAGGCTATTGACTTCTATGGGAACCGTTTCTAAACAGCACATTTCATCAGTTGTGAACAGAATAATGTCCTGATCTAAACCTGTCCTGAACCTGATATAAACCTGACCTGAACCGCTGAACAAATACTGTGTCAAATAGCTGTGAAACCTGAGCTTCAATCTGCACTGTACATGTGTGAATCCACACTCTACCTTTGAAAATGAGGATATGCTGTGAATATAGTGCATCATGAACAACCATCTGACCACCATGTCATCCTGCATTTACTGTTTAATGAGGCAACACCACACTTTGCTGAATAACATTCAGCTTGGGGATCTGTCAAGGAAGGGGGGTGGCTGGAAGGGATTTGGCAGTAAATTTGCTATTATTTATGATATCAAAAGAAAATGTATGCATTTGTTTTAGCACAAATACCTATTTTGGCTATATTATCCTGGAAATATTTTAATATTGTCTGTGCAGTATACTGAAATAACAAAAAATTATTTTTTTTAGTTTTACCAGTGCTGGTTAAAGACTAGGTTTACACTTTTGTGTTGCACATTAACACACCTTAGTATTCCCCAAACCACACCTGACCTGTTTATGAAATGCACTACACAGGCACACATGCTACTGCATTACTGTGCATTGAGGAATGCTGCAGCATAGTTGTGTTGCTTTAGTGCATCGGGCACTGAAACACATCAGTGTGTGCATGGCTTGGTACCCACACAATGCAAAAGCGCAAACACAGTCAAAAAGCTTGTGTTACTAGCACAAAACTTGTTTTGAGTAGAGGGTGTTTTATTACAGAGCATTTGCTAGTAATCTTGTAATGATAGGCTATCACAATTATTTTATAAAACCTAGAACATTAATAACCAGGTATCAAACATATTTGAATTACAACATATTGCTAGAAATCTGCCCCTGATATTAAGATAATGTCAGAAAATCAACAACAAAATATTTGTAAGCCACAGCTTGAGCTTCATTACATTTTAGTACAAAGGGTATAGCTAGTCTGAACTCCATTTCCCATACTGTATATATTCATTAAATTGTAGCCTGTGGTCATCTTTTCCACAGTCTTTTAACTTTTTATTGAAGCATCTTGTATCAAAATATTAAACATGATACCCTGTTAGCACATCTGTTTTCCCTCTAATTTTCTTATTATTGTCATTTATGTTGCTTATGGTAGTTTTGTTTTCCAATTCTTTTGCAGGTTTGATTATAACAGTATGGTATAATAAGCTGCTGTGTTACTTTTTTATGAAATTAGCACGAGTGACTTAAAAATACCTTAAGTTTAACAAACAATAAGTTAAAACAACATGCAAGATATAATAGAAGTCTATGGGAAAGTGCAGCTCATATGCAAGTGCACTGCGCTGCACTCGTGGTGTGGGTAAACTGCAGCACATCAGTGTAAAAGCAGCTTTATAGGGGGCTCAGGACATTAAGGGCTCATTTATAGGGGGCTCAGGACATTAAGGGCTCATTTACAGGGGGCTCAGAACATTAAGGGCTCATTTATAGGGGACTCAGGGCATTAAGGGCTCATTTACATTTGTGGTTTGGGTGAGGGGGGGGGGCATTAAAACCCCATAGTTGAGACCATGCATGCGTAGCACTGAGGTAACTGAGGGGGGGCTACAGCTTATGGACATCTAGCCACTGTTTGTGGCCAACCATTTATGGTCAGTACTCTTCTTTTGTTTACCCCTTTTTGACTAATAAACGCTAGTCTCAACATTATTACACTATGTGGCGTCCTTCATTGGGCTCTCTCTGAGAGCACCATCTCCCACAGTACTTCTTTGGATCAAGGAGTTCCCTGACGCTCACACGTTCGGATGCTACTTGGCCACCTCTCCTTGCGGTGAGACAGAGGATAGGACGCAGTGCGACCTGACCAGAGCCCTGATGCTGGAGAGATCTTGCAGCAGTTACTTCCTTACATGCGTTATTTTAACGCACTTCTGGTGAGTGCGCACTCTATCTGTTTTTCCTGGATCTCCTTTACCTTGTACTACCATCACCCTGGGACGAGAACTTTTTGTGCGCTCTCAGCACTCTTTATAGACTCTATGCATTATTCACCTCTGTGGTATATCTGTTTTGACCACTGATATTTATATTTATCCTATAGAGTAATATTTATATTTTTGTTTTAGCGCTGCACCTATTTTTCTTTTACTATTGACTATTGCAAGGAGGATTGGTTGCCTTTTTGGTGTTCTAGCTGCTTGTGCTCTTGTACCTGTAGCGCTCGCTATACTTTCTTTAACTGTAAATTCCACTTTACCAAACAGGTGTAAAGTAGAATCAATAATGTAAATCAGATTCAGAATGGTCAACAGTATGCATACACTGCAGAGTGATAAAAAACAGGTAATGAAAGCCTGTTCACTCTTCACAG